CCAATTGCTAATTCAATTCCAATGGATTTAGAATATAAAACTTCCCTTAATGTTAGCTGACGCCGTGTGTATAATATGCCGGTAAATGTTGCTTTCTGTCAACTTGCTTTAATAACAAAAATTAAAAATGCACTTAAACGTGTCCTGAAAGTAGAGATCAAGAGACCGTGAAAGCAGTACCTTGTTTGTCGAACAAACCCTTCTACTTTTCCCCATTTAACATTGGATTCGATAACATCTGTTGGTTTTCACTTAAAAAATGTTGAAAAAGGTTCAAGAGATGATGGGGAATTGGCGCCAGAGTTCTGTACTTTCATGATCCATAGGACAAGAGAAGCACTAGAGACCACAGGTGTAGTGGCGCCTTCTTTTGGCAGGACCATCAATGATCCAGGAATTCTCCTCTTCTAATCTCACAAGAGATGCTCACAACCTAATAATTACCATATATTCATCACGCCATAACAGCATGTGAATCTCGGCATAGCTGCAGTTACTAACAAATCAATAAAGTTGTCGCCAGAGGACGCGACATAAGGAAACTCTCGAACCGTGAGACTTCGACAGATGGGCAAGTGAACAAGAATACACCATGCAACTTATTACCGTACTTTCTGAGCGGTGAATTATTCTTCTAAATAGATGTTAAGATTTCGAACAAAGTTCAAACCCTGATCATTTTGAGTTCTGCAACGAATACCTCCTCAATCTTCTACCTCTTTTGTGTTAAAACCAAAGGTTAAAAAAGATGACCTCAAGCAGTTCGGGCTCTCAAAAGTGTGAACAATTTTCAACTCTTCTTGAATACTGATGAAATAATCAGATATGATCATATAATACAGCAAATAGAGCAATTAAATGAGTAATAAATCAACACAATTCATGATCGCAATACATTTATGGGAAGAACTAAATAGTAGCCCCCCAATGGCACAGCGGTATGTCTGCAGACTTACAACGCTAGAATCCGGGTTGCGATACCCGTGGTGGGCAGTGTACAGATAGCCCATTGTGTAGCTTTGTGCTTAATTACAAACAAACAAACGAAATAGAATGAAATTTTTGCCAAACATTTTGCAATCACGCGAAATCGTAGCATAAATTTATTTTCGCATATTTCTGTGCTTAGAAAGATGGACTGGGCGTGGCCGGAAGTTAGCTTACCAGGACTGTGAATCCGAGGATTCACGGTTCGCTTCACATTGCTGCAAAAACGCTCTTCAAGTAAATTGGACCTGTGTGAGCCCTATAAAAGTGCTGGTGAAATCCCACTACTCGGTCTGATAATAGTAGTTCAAGAACTGGCGGGGAGAGGCGTGCTATTGATTAGCTGCTTTGTGCCTAGTTTACCACTTAAAAATTATAGACGGTTGTTCGCAAACAGCCCTTGTGTAACTTTGCACGAATTTCTGAAACAAGCAGAACATACCTTCAAAACTGGAAACCTAACAGTTCGTCAACTCAAACAGAACCACCAGCAAACAAGACATCATCTATGATATCAAACTTTACGCCATAATCTAAGTAGATCATAACATAATGATAACCGTTTGAAAACTGATGAAAAATACTAAATATCATAAGTCTATTCCCGAGAACACAAAAACAGTTAATGTTAATGTGCATTGAATCTTAAATTGGAAGTTAATATTTTCGGTCGGTTACTTTAATCTAAGGAATCTGAAGAAGAAAACTTAAATCCTCCGATATGCAATACAAAACTTATTTATTTATAGACTCAACACGTCTATAATGTTACAATAAATGACCATGAAATATCAATTATCCTGGTTAAATATCTGCTAAATTTTGATATTAGTCTAATAGAATAGGAAACTCTGATTTAAAAAAATCACAACAAAGAGAAATCTTAATACTCTTTTCTGTATAAATGTGTGCGTTAAGGTTAGACAACAAACATTATGTACATATAAAAAAAGATTAAGAATTTGACTTACGCTGATAAAGTTGAAGCTTCGTCGACTTGGTGGTTCTATTTCTAGTTCTGTAAAGGTTGAAAGGTGTGGAGTGGACATACGTATAGCCTTTGGCCTTTGAACGATGACCCTTCTGCCCCAAATGCTTGGTGTAGATTCTCGGCTAGCAAGTGTAAGGTCAGAATCTGAACCAATTAACTTCAGTCGTGATAAGACATTTCCGTGTTTATTAAAGTTACTATTTGTACAAAATCTATTTTCTGCTCCACTGCAAGACTGCAAGTCAGTGTTCCAAAAAGATATAGAGGCTGGAATAACCGATTCTGTAGACTTTGCGCGCATTAACTTCTGGTGACGTACAGATGGAGTAGTGTCATAAGGGGTCTGTAGGTCAGTAGAACTCACAGCTTTCTTTAGGCTAGCTTCTGAGTGACCCAACTCATCTCCGTGGGAGTCTTTCAGAACTTCATCATGTTTTTGAACTGTACTTTGTGGGACTCTCACGTTACAGGCCATAGGTTCACATACAATCGAATGGACAAAAGTTTTATAGTCTTTACTCTTGTCCAAAGAAGAGCCATAAAGAAGTTCAGTAATGTCTGTTTTATTGACCAACCTGTCCATGTTGGGCAACACTCTCGGTGAAAATTCTTTTGTTGCCTTGGTAACGCAGCTCATGGCGGTTTCTTTAATAGAAGTACTACACTTAGCTCCAGAACCAACATCACTAGAGAAAGCACGTGTTTTAACATTTGTCTCGTTGTAGCTTTCCAGAAACAGCTCGGCTAACTGAAGCGAAACAACTTTACTCTCCATCCCCCCCGAAAACTTCACGACCAAACCCTGTTGCCACCACTGGGCACCGACTGACACACCCTGAAAAGTTGAGCCAAGAGTTTTCTTCACGATGGTCAAACCTATTCCTTAAGAAGAAAAGAACTATTTTTTTAACACAAACTTCGCTATATCTTAGTACATCTGTGAGAGTTTTAAATCTTAAACTTCTTAAATCGCTTGTAAAATTAGTTTACATATTATATATATCAAATACTCAGTTACTCTTGCTGTTAATGCAAGAAAAATAATATGACGAAATTTACACCTAAAGCTTATACGCGTCATTCGTCAGTTCTTCGTATAACTAACTCAACCAATTAAATACAATTAGTACACTACAATAAACAATACACTGCTGTATCAAGACTAGACATGCATAATCATACATACTTGTGGCTTCATGTCTACATCAGTATTACCCAGGAACAACGATCACTGGATCAAGACTAGACATTGTGGCTTCATGTATACATCAGTGTGACATAGCAACAGCAAACACTGGTTCAAAAATAGACATGTATAATCATACATACTTGTGGTTTCATGTCTACATCAGTATTACCTAGGAACAACGATCACTGAATCAAGACTAGACATTTTTAATTATACAATACATACCTGTGGCTTCATGTCTACATCAGTATTACCTAGGAACAACGATCACTGAATCAAGACTAGACATTTTTAATTATACAATACATACCTGTGGCTTCATGTCTACATCAGTGTGACATAGCAACAACGAACACTGGATCAAGACCAGACATATTTAATCATACATACTTGTTGCTTCATATTTACACAAATGTTACATAGCAAAACCGAACACTGGTTCAAGACATGTTTAATTATACATACTCGGGTCTTCATGTTTACATCAATGTTACCTAGCGAAACTGATCACTGGTTCAAGAATAGACACGTTTAATTACACATATTTGTGGCTTCATGTCACATATAAACGCTGACTGTTTTGCGATTTCTTTTCTAAATTTAAACTAAGATACTTAATATTAATTTGTGTGATTTCCATCTTATTGTTTCTAGCTTTAAAACTAACTAAAGCTAGGTTTTCTAAAACTGATTTATGTTGATAAGTTTGCCCTGCAGTTGTGACTCTAATTTCCTTATATTAAAAATATTAGCAGAAAAAACATAGTGAACAATAAAATGGAATGCAGTGAGAAGACTTCAACTAAAGGGACGAAACTGACCTTAAAACAATCTATCCCGTTTGTAATTTCTCCAGAAACTGGGTTTTAGTTTCGTTTCTATAGCCTGAATTGTGCGAATTCTATTATTTCTGTCAGCACTTTAAACTTCTTTTAGTATAATTCTAATTTTTCACAATAAGGATGAAACAATTAAGACTTAGCGCTCTGAGTTTTCAAACAATTTTTTCATCTAATATAATTCATAAAACCGATTAATCTTGTTTCGATCGTTTTATCATTAAAATGAGTTATTTTAAATAGGCCCAATGGAGTAGAATAGTGTAAACTAACATTTGTGTCGTTGTTAAGAGCATTAAGGACATGTTTCCGTGTGTCAGAAAATTTGGATCTAAATCTATAAAAATGTTATAATAACAAAACATGTTAATTACAAACCACATGTAAGAGTTTGTTCTGTAAATAAACATTTCACTCTATAAATACAAAAAACCACCGGAGTGCCTCTGTTTCATTTCTGAGCTTTGAATTTTTCAAATAATAAACGTATTTTAATCCGCGACAAAAAAAAAGACTTGTATTATGTTAACCCTTCTTTTATCCATGTTAAACAGTAGACTCGTGTTATGTTAACCCTACACTTCGCCTAAAGGTTAACCCTTCTTTTATCAATGTTAAACAGTAGACTCCTGTCATGCTAACCCTAAACTTCACCTAGAGGTTAACCCTTGTACATAGTTGGACTTACAATGCTAGAAACCAGGTTTCGATACCCGTGATGGGCAGAGCACAGATAGCCCATTGTGTAGCTTTGTGCTTAACTTCAATTCTCATCGGTCAGACAAAACGCGCGCGTGTTTTTTTTTTCTTTATTTTAAGAAGAAGACTTAAGCTTACGATATCCAATAAAAACATTTTTAATGGAAAATCTTAGTGGCACGGACAGACAAGACACACATCCTCCAACAACGGCGGAAAATACTAAAACCACCAAACTTAAAAATGACTGCAATATCATACAAAGCATACATCTGCCCAGTCATAAAATACGCATGCCCAGCTTGGATTAACGCAAAACATACATCTGCCCAGTCATAAAATACGCATGCCCAGCTTGGATTAACGCAAAACATACATCTGCCTAGTCGTAGAATACGCATGCCCAGCTTGGATTAACGCAAAACATACATCTGCCCAGTCATAGAATACGCATGCCCAGCTTGGATTAACGCAAAACATACATCTGCCCAGTCATAGAATACGCATGCCCAGCTTGGATTAACGCAAAACATACATCTGCCCAGTCATAGAATACGCGTGCCCAGCTTGGATCAACGCAAAACATACACATAAGAAAGTTACAAACAATACAGAATTCAGTACCGAGTACCAAGATCTACATCGTCAGCCTTTCTACATAAATATGTAAACATACAAACGCTGCCTGATAGACTCATACATAGTTCTCTAAATTACTTCTAAACAAATTGCCATAAAAATTACCTATTTTGTGAATTAGACCGTTTTTGTATACATGATGAAACTTGCCCTAAGCACCATTCACGGTCTCGCCAATTAATTTCAATATTAGAAATATAACATAAATTAAGGCCACCATAAGCTAAGACTATAACATCCTTGGTTTAGTTAACTCGGAGAGCATTGAAAAGGGTATTTATGTACAACGCTCTTACAGTAACCAAACTAATGGAAAAATATGTGAAACGCAACTGGAACTGTTCACATGTGTGTGACTTCTTCACAATAACGAACAAAATGAAAGTGTGTTTCTCGTATAAGATATTTTCTTGATTACCATACATGGACATGGCCTTGAAAGAGGTCAGAGTAAATACAATAGCATAACCTCCGATCCTCGTGTTATAATTAAAAGAATATTCAGCTGTAAACTAACAAATTCAGGGGGAGGAAGAGGTCCAGGCTAACCTGACCCTCCCAGGTCTACAAAGATCTAAGTCCCGATGCCTACATGCTGCTACTGCTATATAGCCCTTATCTTTGTTCCGTGTTAAAATCATGTTATTCTACCAAACGCAGGATACTTGTACATTTCTACTTCGTGTCTTCTTCATTGAATTTATAATGAGAGGGGAAATATGTAAAAAAATAAAATATCTCCCTAAACACCGAGATGTTCACAATTCATGTAGATTATCATGTGGACCAATAATCACTAAGTATTGTTCCGGTAATGGTAATGTAATACTACTGTTACAACTGAAGACCAATAATCGCTAAGTATTGTTCTAGTAGTGGTAATGTAATACTACTGTTACAACTGAAGACCAATAATCGCTAAGTATTGTTCCGGTAATGTAATACTACTGTTACAACTGTGGACCAATAATCGCTAAGTATTGTTCCGGTAATGGTAATGTAATACTACTGTTACAACTGTGGACCAACAACTACTGCGTATTGTTCCGGTAATGGTAATGTAATACTACTGTTACAACTATGAACCAATAATCACTAAGTATTGTTCCGGTAATGGTAATGTAATAGTACTGTTACAACTGTGGACCAATAATCACTAAGTATTGTTTCGGTAATGGTAATGTAATAGTACTGTTACAACTGCGGATTTACAACTGACTAAATTTCTATACAGATCCTAGGTTTACACAAACATCGTTATACAGATGGGTGTTTACCTTATCTATTTTTTACATATACATAAAGGCACGTGTCTGTTGTAGTGTACGCACGTAAAGGCACGTGTCTGATGTAATGTACATACGTAAAGGTACGTCTGATGTGATCCTATACATTTATAAAGACACTTGTCTATGGTGAGCTATGCAAATAGTGACTCGAGAATAAAGTTTACTGCATGTGTAAGTACACGTTTGTCGTGTAATCTATATACATAAAGACACGTAGCTAATGTAATATACATATGTAAGGACACCTGGGTGATATGATATATATACATAAATACATGTTTGTCGTGTAAAAAACAGACATAAAGACACGTGTGTGGTGTAATCCTTATAAACAGACATCTGTTTAATGTAATTAACTTTATATATATACATAAAGACACGTGTCTAGTGTAATCTATACAAATAGAAACGCGTATATGTAGCCCTAAAGTACTCTCGAAGCTTAAACACTTCTTGCACGGTCAACCAATACAGGCTTGTTTACAGAAACTAAGTAGAAAAAAAGAAAGAAAGCGCGCTCACTAATGGCTAAAAAGTAAAATTCAGACGTAATGGCCGTTAGCTTTCTCACACACATTTTCAATAAAGCAACGAATCAAATGACGTTAAAAATGAAAAAAGGTAATTTCGGCAACATTTTAAACACTACTTTATCCTGTTAAACACAATATATTGTAATTATATTAAACATCTTCACAGTGGGGATGGTGAGGGTGAGGGGCTTGTATTGTAAGATGACATACGTACAGCTTTTATAGAACATTGGATAACTGGAGCTGAGAGGGGAAGTTTGATTATAACTCACTTGATTTTGTTGTTGGTATAAACACGTAGTGAGTGTGAGCTTCGTAGCTCCGTCCCTATTCTATTTTATTTTTTATAATTATTTGTTAGAGTCAGAACTAGCAGTATATAAAGCAACAGCCTTTGTAGTTTAAAACATGATTGAAATAAGAAATGGGGTAACACGTTTATCACAACTGATAGGATACAGGACAACAGGCCTAACTGATGTCCTATTAAATATGGCCTTACTCCGACTAGTAATACAAGGTTGAGTACATTATATTAGAATGGTTTTGAATGTGCAAATCAGCAACTCACGACAACTGCAACCGATATAATGTCGCGCTGGAACAGCACGCAATAGAACTACATTTTAACATTATTAAGCGTTACGTAAGTATTCTGACGCCACCGAAAATTAATCGTTTTGAGGAAAAGTACGCAACAGCCCTTTCTGACGAAAAATATTCATATATTCAGATCATATGGATGTGTTCAGATCAGAGATTTAGAATTTCCAAGACGTAGATACCCCTTGTATTTAACGGCATTGGAAAACAAAGGAATATGGATCAATCTGGGACACCAGAACCTCCCAGAGAGATACTTAAAAAAATTCGTACCTCAGTTGTATTAAGCAGCATGTGTGGCATCTTCTAGCAGATGAAAATCCACGAACTCACAAGTCAGTGGTGAAAGCCTTCTATGTACCCCAGGCAACAGAACACAACATAATTAAGAAAGTTATCTGTCTGGAAACGAGAGTATTATGGTACGGGTTCACTAAGATAAGACTTCCAGTCATAGCTCTCGTTAAACCGTCACTTACCTCAAGCAACTAGAGAATGAAGTTGGTATTTATACTATTCCACACAAAAACATACAAGTCAACTTGCTGGACTGTGAATTTCTGTGCTAATGGACTGTTCAAATAGCACTATCAAGCTATCACTAGCTGTCTTATGGAAATGCGCAGGGAGGAGTGATATGCTTTGGACATGATAGTCTTACAATGTATACTACGCTGCAGCGCTATTGTCAAGATGCTAGTCGTCAGATAGAGCATTACCGGACTTGGCAAGGCTCCAAAATCGTTTTGATATAAAGTATTCAACCTCCAAAGTCTCATAGTTTCCTCACATAGAAAACTTTCTTGAAACTTAGCCACCAGGATATTTCAACCTCGGTTTAGAGGCATGTCTTCTCACAACGAGATTGCGAATTCGTCACTGTATGTGATAAGTAAACTATAATACAACGTCAACAGCTATAAATATCATTAAATAGCTTTTCTTATGTTTACATTTCTATAACTACAGGATAGGGAGGGCAGTAAGAAAAATACATTACTTTGTTTGGGTGAAAAAACAGTTTGTAAAAAAAAATTAAAGTTATCCAGTTGGGAAAAAATAAAATAAAGAAGTTTTTTGAAACAGGATATCGCTGTAAAACCGCGACAAAGTATAAATACTTAAAGCATTTATATAAACCAGCTAATAACAAGGCACTCGGAAAAGGTCCTTGAAATCAACTAAGTTCTCTTATTAGCAAGGCCTGCGAGCCAATGGATGTACAAGTCTAATGGTAGTAGCTGATGTGTTATTATATAATGAAGAAGGATTAGTTGTGTCTTCAGAAAACTACTCTGGGTGGATAATATTGTTAGATTAACTCTGTGATTATCGATCTAAACAGCTGATAAAAGTTGACAAACCCACAACGTCAACGCTTAGTAACACGAGTCTTGAAAGTAGACCCAGAAAGTCTGGGCGATAAAAAATAATATCGTGTTTTTTGTGAAAATTTCTTTATATAATAATCTACAGGGTGAGGCAAAAGTGGTCCAGCACTTATTTTATATAAAATACTGCTTAATTTCTAACATTAATACAGATACTGTATAAAAACTTTTTTTTGTATTTGTTTGTTCTTCACAACCATACGCCTGTATATTCTCTAAGGTTCTTTACCGGTTCGGCGAGTTATTACACTGACTCTGGAAATTAATCACGTAATTACAAGCTTTATTTCAACATGACCTTCTTAAACTCAATGAACATATTAAAATATAAATATTACTTCGTGAAACAGCTTGTAAGAGTTCATAACGCAGACATATAAAAGTGCGGAAATGTATTAATACGTTACAAAACAGTTACGTTTAATATTATGAGTACCTTTTTTAGCTATTGTCGTAGCTCAAGGTTCCAATGTAATCTTCTCACTGGACTTGGGTGCTCATGCTTCAACCTGCCCGAGAAGATTCGAAGATTTTCTCCATTTTCATTGTATTTAGCTATAAAGACAACACGGCTAATCAGAAACTGGATAAGTTTTGTTCGTTGTTTGTTTCTATGTGTGTGTGTGCACTTGCCTCGTAACTTGAAACACTGCTTTTAGGAGATGTAATGAAACTTTTAGAGGGGAGACAAATTTCAGAGGTGGCGTCCGCTACCCCCTCACCTACCCTTGCCGTTACCGCTTTATATATAGTTTGAATCTTGATTAGATGTGGTACCCTTTGACCCAACTCCCACTGTTTCGGTTGATTGGTTACACGTACCTAGGTTAAGTCTATGACAAGAAAGTCCAGATGGGACGTATGATACTGTGTTCTAACTCCCACCTGTTCTGGTTTGTTTACACAAACCTAGCTTAAATCTATGACAAGAAAGTCCAGATGGGACGTATGATACTGTGTTCTAACTCCCACCTGTTCTGGTTTGTTTACACAAACCTAGCTTAAATCTATGACAAGAAAGTCCAGATTGGACGTGTGGTACGGTCTCCCAACTTCCACTTGTTCTGGTTTTTGTAAACACATGCCTAGGTTAAATCTATGATAACACAGTCCAGATTGGACGTGTGGTACGGTCTCCCAACTTCCACTTGTTCTGGTTTTGTAAACACATGCCTAGGTTAAATCTATGATAACACAGTCCAGATTGGTAGTGTAGTACGGTGTTCCAACTTCCACCTGTTGTGATTGGTTGACTACATATACAGCATCAGTAAGTGGGCCATCACATGTAACAATCTGTTGCCTAGTTGAACTGGCCTACTAGTGGTAAGTGTGAGCAGTTACACTTTCCCCACACGAAACTAATCCTGTACTCTCCCCACCTGAAACTAATCCTGTACTCTCCCCACCCGAAACTAATCCTATAAGCTGTTGCATGTTCACGGTTATCAATTTATTATGTGTATTGCACTATCAAACAAGGCGTCCTAGCTTTCTATACGTACACACACACTTGTTCCTACCACGTAATATACAGTTCTAGTTAGCCGGTCAAGGAGTCTAACAGTTCTCTATATTCTGTAGTGTTCCCCACTTTAACTCAAGCTACATCTGTCGCCCTGTGCAATAAGACACTCTTAAGCTCATATGGTTACGACAAAATCAATTGTAACCTATGGGCAGATATATAATGACTCACAGGTCAGACTTTGATGTGGGTCCATAAAGAACTGAATAAACTTCATTTAAGCCTTTGAAAACATTTAAAAATAAAAACATACCAAACTTAAGGACTATTAGATTCTTTAAAAGTATAGTTAGACTCGAATGTCGGTTTCTACAAGAAGGATTCTATAGGTCTGTACACATTACAATACTATGTAACTTTTCGTTGCAGTCTGCACTCAAACAAATTAAACGACCTACTGCTTCATAACACGTATTTCACAGCAACAGAAACAACCTTATTCATACCATATGACTTTCACAGCAACAGAAACAATTTTCTTCATACCATACGACTTTCACAGCAACAGAAACAACCTTTTTCATACCATATGACTTTCACAGCAACAGAAACAATTTTCTTCATACCATACGACTTTCACAGCAACAGAAACAACCTTATTCATACCATACAACTTTCACAGCAACAGAAGCAACCTTTTTCATACTATATGACTTTCATAGCAACAGAAACAACCTTCTTCATAACACATGTATTTCACAGCAATAGAAATGACTTTCTTCATAACACATGTATTTCACACAATAGAAATGACTTTCTTTATAACACATGTATTTCACAGCAATAAAAATGATTTTCTTCATAACACATGTATTTCACAGCAATAGAAATGACTTTCTTCACTGTACATTTTCACAGTAATAAAAATAACCTTCTTTCAGAGCAACAGAAACGACTTTCATTTTAACATACGATTTTCATATGAACAAAAAATATTTTCTTCATGGCACACATTACGCCCACAGCAACAGAGTTGATTTGTTTGTTGTTAAGCACAAAGCTACACAATGGGCTATCTGTGTTGTGCCAACCACGGGTATCGAAACTCGTTTGTCAGTATTATAAATCTGCAGACTTTCTGCTGAACCATTAGGGACAGAAACAGAAACTATTTTCTTCATGACACATAACTTTTACACATGTATTTCACAGCAATAGAAATGACTTTCTTCATAACACATGTATTTCACAGCAATAAAAATGATTTTCTTCATAACACATGTATTTCACAGCAACAGAAACATCC